GCCAACTAACTTATAATAATAATAATAAATTAACATGTAGTCCAAAAAACCAAATTTCAAAAAATAAATTGTTCTGGAGTCTAAAAACTTTCGACCAGCAGTATATATAACAAAATATATTACAAATTGAACAATTTTGTTTTATCAGTATCATTAATGAAAATGCATTGTTCTTGGTCCAGCAGTTGGATAATTGGAAAAAATACCCATAATGAAATTCATAGGACAAATTTATTAGAATTAAAAAAACTTATGCAATTAAGTATTCTTTCAATTATATCAAATGTATTTTAAAGAGAAAGAAATAAGATCATAATGTAACTAAGAAATTCTGAGTCATCCATTTGTTTAATTTTTTCTGATTTTACATCACAATATGTGGACATTCACATGATGACAATGACAAATTATGTATCCACCAAAATCATTGTGATGATTTTGGTGGATATATAACACTTGGCATTATCTTTATTACTCTTACTGATGATAATCTCTACATAGTTTATATTAGTATTTTCCCTAGACCTTTCATTAATTCAGGCAAGCAGAAAATAGACAGTCCAATAAATTTCAGTTATACAGTAACCACACTTCTGCCAATTACATTTGTATTTTTGAAACATTTAGTATTGTTGCTATCCTTCAAAATAGATTTTTTTTTTTCAATTAAAATCATGAACAGATAATGGAATAAACTTTCATTTAAAATTTACAATCATATTTATGAAAATTGTCCTGACAAAAAAAAAATATTTTTTTGTTAGAACAGATCCTTTACTGAGAAGAGAATGAGTTACTGTAGTGATCATATTTTTCCAGAACTCTGTGTCAAATATATATTATAGTATTATTATATTTTATGCCTTAAAAGATGAATGAATGATGGATATATCAATATAAGTAGAAACCATTAAATTTAAAATTTCCAAACAGCTAAAAAAAAGACATTGATTGATAATTTTAGTTATCAGACAATGCATAAAAACTAATTTATTTAATTATAAAAGATTTCCATTAATCAATTACAATTATTTGCCTCTGAAATTATCACTAAATCAACTATGGTACTAAAGTGAAGAACCTCAAGTGATAAGAATGCTCCTTGCAATGAAAAAAAAAAAAAAAAAAATCACACATTTATTAAAAAACTTTCATTACCTAAGATTTACTGTTTATGGGGCAGATTGATGGCACTATTCAGGAGAATACTAAATTAAGTTTTGACTATATGCAGGTAATATATTGTTTGATGATGATAAATGATGGTAATTGATCAGTCAAAATGGAAAATAAATGTTTTTATAGTTTGATTATATTTTATTTTATGAAATATCACTACTAAATATTAAATATCTAAATATTAAAGTCTTATTACTCTATAAAATAATTGATTTATTTGAGATTTTTGTTCAATTATCATAGAAGGAACAGGCTATATAATAACTTACAAGGAGAGAGTGCATGGTGGGAAATACAAATCTGAACAAAACTTTTGCAGTTTGTAGATGAGACTTCTTGGGTATACATGTAAAGTATTAAATGTTTTGGCTGGCTGGCTGTTTGATAGTAATTAAGAAAAACGATTTTAGTATCTGTTATAAAGAGTGCATGCTAAAACCTTTATCTACTACAATGTTGTCCCAAGTTCAAATCCTGTTTTCTGGAATTCTTAAAACTTTTGTTAAAATACATACTATTTATAAATAATAATTAACAAATTAAATACATATTACTTTGTTTAATTTAGATAGTATTTCATGACTAGCACACCTAATATTGACCTAGTTACTTGGAACAGACTAATTTTATTGCCTTGTTACTATATTTACAAATTAAAATTTATTAGTCATATTTAGTTATGAGCTATCAAAGTTTTATGGCATTGTCAATAAAATGGAGCCAGTGTCAAATGTCTCTAACTCAACCAAAAGTTTAATTTCCTGATACTTCTCATACAGCTTATTATATGGCAATTAGAAATTCAAGAGTTATTTCAAAATAACTTTGAAAATATGTACAGTACTTGTTTATTTGGAAGAATTGTTGTGAACTGTTGATGAATTGTTTACCACTGTATTACGTATTTTGGAAATGGTGAAAATTATGTGCAACAAAATTCTTTATAAATAATACATCTCTGCTGTTAGCGGCTATTATGGCGGGTTTACACGATGATAGTTTTTCATGAATGTACTGCCATGATAGTAGGCCCTACTATTTGAAATTTTGTTGTTTTTCAATATTAAATATTTAAGGGCACTCTCATGATAGTACTATCATGGCAGTACTTACCGCATAACGTAAACCGCATGATAGTTTNTAATATTAAAAAAACAACAAAATTCTTTATAAATAATATTTAAATCAGTTCAACAAAAAATTTTTTTTCAAACTTTTGTTACTAAAAAAATATTTCTTGGGACAACATTTAAGTGAAGGTTTTAGCACATTGTCATACAGCACATTGGGAATGTCAATCTTACTGCACATGTTATAATGAATGTTAACTTTTTTGTTAATTATTATTGAATGGCTAGCCATCTACAATTCATATATTACATATATATTCAGGAGGTCCTGTCTACAAACAGAAAAAGTTTTGTTCAGGTTTGTATTTTCTATCAAGTGCACTCTCCTTTTTAAGAAATTAAGTTAACATCTATTTTAAATGAGAGCATGATGGATATTGGATCAGAAAAGAATTACAGAAAACTTTTAAATAAATATAAATATCTATTTAGAAAACAATGCATGAAACAATATATCAGCAGTATATATTATTCTTATCAGAATATAGAAAATATGAATTCGCTGTATTGTTTATACCATATCAATTTCCTCAATCTTATGCTTGTATGTATGATGTTTGCCATTACTTACAATTACATTGAAATTCAGCAGCTTTACTAGAAAAGAAATTAACACTCTTGCCATCTAACTAAAAAAAAAAAAAGATTATTAATTGACATTTTAAAGAAAGGACAAGATATCAACAATACACATCCTACTTCACTGTTCCCAGATGTTAATAGACAACAGACATACCAAATATCAAGCATATTGTAATGAGAATGTTTCAGTTGGAATTTCTTAATAAAAAGTGTCTGTTGATTATGGACTTTAAAAAAATTTCTATAAATATATTTCATTAGTAAGTTGGAATATATAAAATATTCCAGTAAGATCCAAATGACATTTATCACATTTTGAAGAGAACAATATATTTGAAACCAATAAAAACTCTCTTCCAATAAGATTTCTTACTGGAGAGAAATATATGGTTTAAAGAAAATTTCCTTATCCTACATTTGGCAATAAGAACATATGCAAATATTATAATAATAATTATAATAATTATTATTATAATATTTGCATATGTTCTTATTGCATATGTTTATTATTACTGTAGGCTAATAATAATTATTATTAGCCTACAGTTCCCATATTTTGGCATGATTAAATTTTTCAATGTGAAATATATAATAATATAATTACATACTTTAAAGTTTTATTGAAAGAAAATGCATGAAACCAGTTTACAATCTTTGTACATTTTCCATATAAAATTAAATAAATTTAAGAGCTTCAAATGCTCACACATTTCAAATGGAAATGAATGATTTCTTTCAAGCTGCAAAAATAACTAACTATCTCAACAAATTTCAACAATGTAAATTAAAAATATTTTAAAAATATAATTTAACTAGTTTTATTATTATTATTATTTTCAAAAAAAGTTCTTTACTTTTTGAATTTTATAATTAATGATTGTTCATTGCAGTTTTTCTAATTCTTTGATGATTTAATTTAATAAGATCATCTCCATTACAATATGATTTTAACTACACTTTTTACATTCTTCTTCAAAATTAATTTCTGAACTTCCTCATAAAAGGAGAAAAAGATTGTGTTTTACTACTGATCTTAAAACTTCATTTTCATATTCTCTTTAATTACTTAGTTGGGCTGCATAACCTAGTGAAATTTTAAAATTCAATGATGTAAACTACATCACCGAATTTTAAAATGTAAACTTAACAGCAAAGCTGTGCATATAATTAAAATAAATATAGAAAATGTCTTGACTAGCTTCTCTGAATATAAATATCTATCGGTTACCTTTCTGTAGAGACACATCCGTTACTGAATGTTAAAGCTCGAGATAAGGGACATCCACAGCCTAGAAAAATGGGACGCCTAAAGCCACCTAAAACAGCTTCCGACGGAAAAGTATCTCACCGTTCAAAATATGGAAAGGGAGAAAGAATGCGTGATAAAAGTAAAAATCAGTTCTATGTTATATTTCAAAGAATATTTTATATTATGATTTTGATATATCAAATTTTAAATATTTTTCATTTATAAATAAAATGATTAATAAAAATAAATTTGTTTATGTAAACACATTTATTTTTATTAAATCACTAACCATTTGTTTTTATTTCTGAGGTAATTTGAACACTTATTAATCCATCTTCAGAGTTATACACATTGATTAATAATTTTAATATATCAAAACATTTATAAAGAAATCATAAAAATTCTTTAATAAAATAAATTAATGAATTTTATTAAAGTTCTGTTTTTAATGTTATTTAAAGTAGTAAAAATAAGAATTCCATAATTATATTTTTAAAATTTTCTTCTCATTGTTTCCTATTCAGATATATAACCTATCAAAGTTTTAAAAATCAATTTACGCAAAATAAATTACTACATTATTAATTCAAATACTAATTGCCAAATTTCTAGAAGTATTTCAAGCCTCTAATTTATATGATTTTTATATAAATTAGAGATAAAATTTTCTCACCAAAGAAAAGTTGAGATTGGTTCTTTCCACCAACATCGATATTTCTTCTAGAAAATATTTCTGAATGAAAATCATCAACAAAATAGTGTTATCATTCATGTTTTAATACTTTAAATAAGAAGAAGTCATATATTAGAGACTGGCTGATCTTCTTTTACTTGCTACTTGCTGAAAAAAAATTATATTATCATAAATTCTGAAAATTAAGTTACACATTTTTTCAACTAATATTATTTTCCTAATTAGTTGCTGTTAAACTATTTTTTAGACTAGAAAGCAAAATATGAACCTATTTTAAATTTGAACATTATCAAAAGAAGCTATAACATTATTAGATGAACTTTTCAACTATATAAAAGATTAAAAAAATTAAATCTAGAAAAACAAACCAGAAACCTATTAAAATCAGAGGAATAAAAATATATTTTTAAAATAATAGTTAATAGTTATCTCTAATTAGTACAATTCTTCAGTGCATACTTACAAATGATAAAAACTGTGATCAGATCAGAATAGACAGTACAGACTAATTTGAATAAATGATACTATGAGAATATTTAGAGAAAGATCAGTTATTAATTCACATAAAAATTTCCTCTCTCTCTTTTCTGCTAATAGTTTTATATAATGTTTCTGTACATGTGTAATGCAATCAAATAAATTTACAAAAATAACTCAAAAAAACTATTATGTCCTACAATTAAAAAGAACTTTATTGGATAAATCTTATTCAAGAATTTTGGAAAGATAAAAATATTTAGTGAGTTCAAAAGAGTATTTTTATGAATTTATTGTTTAATCATTATACTTCCATGTAATAATGTAAGTAACAATTATATAATATCAATTACATCATTAATATTAATGGAAAGAAATGTATTAGACATTAAATATGAGTAAGTCTAATTAACATCCAGTTAAAAATTGACATATTTAATTATTACAGTACGATAGCTATTTCCCTATATTATTAGCCACAAATGCTTTTTTCAAACCAGTCATAAATCTATGTATATATATAATATCATAATTGATTACAGTTAATAATCTTTTATTGACTAGTCATACACTTGAGTGATTTTCAGAATGCCAGAAATTTGCATGTTTTCAATAAAAAATCACTATAGTCATTTATCTGTAACTGGCCTTAGTTTTCTTAAATTTGTTTCTTCAAATAATAAAATTTTTTAGTGGCTTTTATTAGAACAATAATTTATCTAAAAGCTTTTTGTAAAGTAAGTATTCAATTAATAGTTGCTTTTCACTGGCTGGAAAGTCAGTTGCTCAGAACTGCATAAAATAATTTCAATTATGAATTTCCATGTGTTAAAACTTGATAATAAGTATTATAGATTTTATTTAGAAGAATATTGATTATTTGCAATAATTATTAAAATGTAACTGCATATTATAATATTTTTAATGAGTTTGGAAGTCTTTTAGTAGTAATTTAATTACTCTCTAGATCACGGGTTCCCAACCTATGGGTCGCGACCCAAAAGGGGGTCGCAACGGGTTTTCTGTGGGGTCGCCAACTTATGCAGTAAACTAAAACAAAATTTTCACTATAATGCAATATTTATTTTTAATGGTGTCTTAAAGTTTGAATAATTTCATATATTTTAGAAAAAATTAAAATAAGTGTAATCTGGGTACGTTATTCTGTCACAGTTGGTTGAAACATGTGTTGAGAGTTTTGAGAGGAATAAATTAAATGTTGAGAATGACATGAGGTTGGCGTTAACAAAATTTCACCCGCGAATTTTGAGGCTGGTTAATAATACATGCAATTTCAACCATCTCATTAAATTAATTATTAAACATAATTTAAAATAAAATTATGCTAAAAAACTAATTTCATTGTTTTCTTAATTACCTTATTAAAAATACCTTTTTCAATTGTATCGGGGTCGCGGGTCACTTGGCTTTTATAAAAAAGGGGTCGCCACCCGAAAAAGGTTGGGAACCGTTGCTCTAGATCTAATTTCTGTCAGTGTTGTTTAAGTGATGAAGATGGATTACTTAAACACATTTGAAAAAATTAAGCTATGTTTTATTAAAGCTTAGAATTATCATGTTTAACTAAAAATTAAAAATTTGTTATGGTGCTTTCAGATTTGGATAATTTTAATGCATACTTTAGAAAACAGAAAACAAATTCAGGATTAATGTCAACATAAATGTACACATGTGTCCAAAACTTAAAGACAGACAACATTTGTATAGAGAGAACTTTAGATAAATGCAGACAAATATGGCATGAACTGTATGTATTATTCAATGTCTAACACAGGGTAATAAATAACAACTTGTAGGATTTTACAAATCAAAGCATAAAAATAATTCTTTGATGAAAAAGATACTTACAGCAGTTAGACATAGGTGGAGAATGGATGGAAAGTGTTTACCAATATACAGCAGAGTGACCCGTTAATATGGAATATGTCCACCTCAGCTGCAATGCAGCACTTACATCATCATGGCAGGCTCATCACCAAAACTTTTTCTAACTATCACCAATAGCAATTGTGTTCATCCTTAGGTTTTGAACATGTGTGTATATTATCTCTAGAAAATAATTTTATATAATATGATTGAATTCATTTTCTGTCTTGATGTATTGTCTAATCAATTTTTCAAATAAAATTCATTATTATTAATTATTTAACTTTTTTTTTTATAGTTTCAGGAAGCATTCCAGACATTGATTTAGCTGGATTAGGGGATAGTTCTGGTCTCCCTTCATAAGTGTTCTTTCTACTTGTATATACAGAATTTGTATTTTCATTGATTTTATAATAAAAGTAAACAAATTATAACATAAAAATTGCTGATAATAAGTTATAGATGTACTGTATACCAGTTTATCTATTTTCAAATAATTGCATCAATATTAATTATGAAATTTAATAATGACAGCAATATCAAAATTATATTTACATTTTAAAAATTTGGCAAATATTTATGTATATAAAAAATATATATATATATCTTATCAAAAACAAATCACCAAAAATTTAGCTCAATCCATATTCTTTTATCAAATTATTTGCAATTACTAATCTCTGAATTTCACTAGTTCCTTCATAAATCTCAGTAATTCTAGCATCTCTGTAATATCTTTCAGCAGGCATGTCTGAAACATAACCCATTCCACCTAGAATTTGTAGACCCTGATATAAAAGACATTTATTAATAAATTATTATTAATAATGATAAATTTATTTAATAATTTATAAAAAGATTTCTTACTTGATGAGTAACAAACGTTGCAGCTTCTGAAGCAGCTAATTTAGCAATTGCAGCTTCCTGACAAATTAACACTTGTTACTTTTATGCCAATTTATGCCAACTTATTATTTATGATGATGATTTTTTTTAATATAAATATGTTAGTTTAATCAGATAATTAAAAATTATTAGTTTAGTTAAATGTAGGCCATTTATCTTTTAAATAATAAGTCTCCATCCCAAGCATATTTGAATAATCTAGCTTTTCAAATTCTTTTAACATTACACTGTTAAAAAGTCCTATTATAAATTGAGTTTGTCATTTTAATTATTTACCTTTGTATATTTTTTGCCAGCATCTTTCAATGCTGCTGCTCTCCAAGTCAAAAGACGTGCACTCTGAAGTTTCACTTCCATATCTGCTAATTTTATCTAAATGAAAAATTGTATCAAAAATACTTAATATTAAAGTGTGATTATTACAAGAATATTATATTAAAAAAGTTTCTACTTTAATCTTTAATTTCTAATATTGTAGATTTCTATAATATGATGATTCTAGACATATTAATTAAATTTATTTTAATACTTTCAATTTTCATAGCTAAGGATCTAAATTTTTAATCTAAGTTTAAATTTTTAATTAAAATTTTAGATACCATATTCACATTCAAAAGATAAATATAATTCATTTTAACTTATATTTATAACCTGAAATTCTAGTCTAAAAATTTTTATGAACATTACTTTGGTTTTATGTTGCTTCAATGACTAAAATGTCATCTGTAGACTTTATGATAAGTTTTATATATTCAAAATAAATGTGCTTCATCATGTTTTTATATGCAAAACCTAGCATATCATGTAAATTAATTTTCTGGCTAAAAATAAAATTATGATAAATTAATGTGTTATTAATTCATGATAACAAACCTGAATAGCTTGAAGTTTCAATAAGCTTGCTCCAAATGCTTGTCGCTTTGCAGCATAATCAATTGCACAGTCTAAAGCTGCCTAGAAAATATTAAATTTATAATACAAATTTTCAAGAATCAGGATGACAGAAATATTGTATAAGATTTTCATTTAATATATTTCTTAATTTTTCAATACTTCAAAATTTTAAGTGTTTCTGAAGTTGTTTTTTAACATTTCATGAAAAATTTGATTGCCACCTTCACTCAGGATTACTCTGCATTTCTTTCATGAAACAGTATTCAAACATGAAAGCATTCAAGCAATAAAACCACTTAAACCTGTGAGCTGACTAACCATTTTCATTTGCTTCAAAAACACTAAACTAATAAACTGGATGCTACAATAACTACGAAGTGTTACTAAATGGAACTTATGAATTTTATTACTTCTAAGACAGATCAAGTATTTCATCTTACAAATTTACTGTGGTACAAGATCAATCTTAAAAAATTGTGGACCTGGGAACAACAGTGGTCTAACAATTTTTAAATAACTAGAAATAAAGGCTTAAAGTTTTTCATAATTTATCAAGTTGCTATACAAGGTTCATATTTGTCATGATGTACAATGACTCTCTTAAAATGTCTTCTACATTGTGATATTGTTAAAGTAGTTAATTTTGGGCTACAATTTGAAAAAATTGTAAACCTATAAATTCTCACTGTCATCCATTTGTCTGTCCTTCCTTAACCTCAAGAATGGAGTTAGATGAAAGTCAAGACCACATATGGATAGCTCTGTGGCAGAGGACCCCAATTAACTATATACAAACTTATGGTTTGCACTAGAAGTCATGTTATTTCAATTAAAAAATTTCCCTGACAGGAGTTAGATAGATGACTGGCACGACTATTGCTAGCAAGAAAAGTATGAGGTACAGGGGCAAGGTAGTATTACTTTGAGGTGAGAACATATATTTTAAATTAAATACAGTAAATTAAAAATTTCAGCCCAGCATTGTGACGATGTCACAATAAATAACTGTCGTTTACAATTAGGTAATTAGATACAATTATAATTGGTGAAAATATGCAGCATTCCTAAAAAGAGACCACTATTGCATAAACTGATAATACCTTGATATTTTCAATATAATTTCAAGCTCTTATCCTTTCTTAATAATAATTTAATGTTCGCACCATTAATACCCAAAATAAAGGATATCAGGCATTCAAATAAGTTGAAATCTTGAAATCTCAAATATGATATAATTGTCTATTTTAGCTTATTTTATAAGCTTAAAACATTTGTTTTTACTTAACCTTTATATTTCAGCAGCACATTTTTTTGTTTTGCTGTATACTTTACTATTAAGAATACTATTACTATTATGGAGAATAAATAGACTTGCTCCCAGGTCCCCAGTAATCCATATAATGCATGTCTAATGTTTAAAAATTGCATAATCTGTTTCATATGTTATTGCTCCAAAATAGATAAATTTAAGAAAATCTTCAAATTGCAAATGACAGTGATATACCCTTCTCTTCATAACATTTGTGGTATGGAAACATTTATAACAAAAATGAAATTCAAAAATATTAAACATTAAAATTAGATGTTTACACATTTTTTTGTGATATGGATGATATAGTTTTGGTTCATTTCATTCCAAAAGTAAAAATAATACCAGAACTAATGTGATATAATTACCGAGTTTAGCTTTATTCCTAACATATGTAAGATATATATATTATATCATGTAAGTTTCAAAAAAGATACACCTTTAAAAGAAAAAAATCCAGCAATGAGTTACTTAACTTTTCCAGCAACATTTGGTGGTGTCATCTGTTATAAAAATTTCTTTTTATAATAATTTAAAATACAATATTTTACTAAAATGGCAAAAAACACAATTTTGAGGACAGGGATGGGTTTTATAAAAAATTGTAATGCTAATAAAATCATCATTAAGTCTGACAGTACTCAAGATATGAGACAACCCTCTTTATCTCCCCTGTCCTGTTGATCTTTAACCACCAAAATTTAATAGCATCAATCACCCTAATAAACAAACCTTCCTGCAAAATTTCAGAAATTTTTGACAAAAAGAACAGGAGGTCTTAAGCTTCAAAGAGGGTGAACAAAATCATGCCCCAAACACACTCCTGAATTTTTTTGAATTTTTCAATGTTTCAAGGTCCTGAGTCCAAATATGTAAATATCTCGAGGGGTCATTTTTTGACTGATCACCATACTTTCCCTCTGTTATATATAACAGTTGGGAAAGTAAAAAAAATCTTTAATACAACGCTAAAAATAACAATATTTGCTGGATATATTCACTTTTATTACCACTTAAAAGGGGTTTTTCAAACAAATAAACTGAAATGTTATAAAAAATAATCTTGTTGCTCAATATCATATGGCCAATCAAACAATTGAAACATTAAATGAAAGGAATCTGAACTGATGGAGGTCTAATAAATTGATGGATGGAATTTTTGTATGTTTATCCCACTAGAAAAAAATTTTTATTGAATGAATAAATCATTGATATGGTAATAAAATTAGTTGATGATACAAAACTTTATCTAGTGGAATTAAAAGTTACATGAAATGCAGGAATCAGTGTGTTGAAATCAAGAGCACTAATTTAATAAAATTTCTTATTATGAATACAAAAAACTAAATTTTGATTTTAAAAATATTTCTTCACAGTCTTGATTTTAATATTTAATAAAAGCAGCTTATAGTAGAACACACTTGTATACATTTCATATATTTTAAAATACTGATAAAAATATTATTTTATAGAATATTGTTGTCAAATGTCTTGATATTTTTTATTTTAAAGATCTATCAATGTCTAGGATCAAAAGTTCTAAACCATTCTTTAAAATTTTTGAGAAAAAAGATGTCCTTTTTTCCTCTACTGCAGTGGTTCCCAACCTTTTTTCATTAGCGTACCCCGTGACATGCCATATCTCTAGATTGTACCCCGTGACATGTCATATCTCTAGATTGTACCCCTCATTTAAGAAATTTAGTGAGTAACTGTATTGTTAATTTTACATATTGTAACTTTAAATTAAATAAAAAAAAAACTAAAAGAAAAAATGTATAATAAAGTTGTGATTGTTGCAAGGAACATTATTTATCTAATAATTTTTTAATACTATTAGTTTGTGATACATAATATATTATTTTTTCTGCCATAATAACTAACTTTTTTCTGTACCCCTAAACAACCTATCGCGTACCCCTAGGGGTACGCGTACCACAGGTTGGGAATCGCTGCA